TGTTAAGAACAAAAGCACACACACGAATATAAAGCAAGAAAGCGATAAAGAACACGAGATTTAACGTGGTTCGGTCTAATCTGACCTACATCCACAGGGGCAACTAGGGTTTGTATTATTGAGTGATAATGATTACAAGTACAGGAGATCATATATATAGACAACTAATTAGGGTTTAACCCTTGCTGGACAAGTTATAGCAAACTGGGCTTAAAACCATTTGGGCCGGCCGAAACCCTAATCTGGTCTCCTAACTCTCAGTTGTCTACAAGTGGGCCACTTTGGGCCGATGACTACACATCACCAACACTGCCGTTTCTCCACGATTCAAGGTCGGCCAATTCAACAAGGTTCAAGGTTGGTAGCTCCTCTAAAGTACGAGCTCGACCATTCTATATACGACTAAGCTTGACCAAGTGCCACCATGCCATGCTCTTCTGAGTAACGCCGCGCTGCGTTCGTTCGATTGCCACAACGTCGTGCTTGTCCAATTTGGACCAGGCTCATGTGGCACACGGAATCAATGAGGCACGTGGGAGACAAGTTTGAGGTCAACTGTTTCTTCAAGATAAGCCGATTCTCCAGGGCTCGTGGCCGATGCTCTTCTAAGGACTCAAGCTCAGCTGCATCTTGGCATGAGTGTAAGCTTAGCAATTTCCCACCACTTTGCGCGTGGTTGGCCATTTCTCCATGAGCTTTAGCTCGTCCATTTCACATGGTGCCGAGCTAGGCCATACTTCACCACTCCACACCAATTAGTCCAAGTCCGGCCCACTCACTTCAGAGGTGAAATTGTTGCAAGCGCCAGTCAACTCTTTGGCCCTTAGGAACAACAAGCAAGGACAGACATGAGAGCGTAATGCTCCTTCATGGATGCTTCAGCGGATGCGTGGTCTTTCCTCTAGAAGGAAGATTAGCTATAGAATAAGTAGATGGCTCAATGACAAAGGAGCGCGTGGAGCAAGCCATTCCTATCCACCCCCTTCTTCACGCCACTATGAATTGTGCAGCAGCGGAGGGGACCAGTGCCGGGCCATGCTTGTCGCCCCCTTCCCGAATCCCTCTAAAAAAAGAAGAAAAGAAAACACCAAGGAACAACCGTGCTATTCGATCAAGAACCACGAAGCTCTTGCGGCCAGATGGCCTTCGCGGCCCCGCCTAACATAGGATAACTTAGCTATGGGTGAGTGTACAAAGTCGGCGCAGAAATGGTCTTTGTAAGACCATTGTAGCCTTTGGAGTTAGCATAGGAATGGTCTTGGTAAGGCATGCACCCTTCACATGTTTGAAGCTCTTTAGTGTGCCATAGAGGTTGGTTTACGACCTCAAGGGGCAAGGGCCCAATTTTCCGACAGGAAATCTCGCTAAGGACATTCTAACCCCCCATAGAGGCAATTGATCGAGAAGAAGCATGTCCCTTCATCTCTTGAGAGCATTGGCTCCAACGAGAGGAGACTCAGAGTTTGGCCTAGACCCGACCTCCCCTACTCCCAAGTAGGGACTTAAGTGTGCGGGAGATGGCCATGCCAGAACCCCCTCCTCTAAGATGGGCTGGCGGCGAGCATTGTATGGGCTCGACCATACCACCCATCTAATAATTAATCCACAAGACAAGCCCTCGTGTGCTGAGGCACCAAAGCCCTCATTTCCTGAGGCACCAAAATCTTCTCTCGGGGTCAGTCCCTACCACTGAGGTGCTCTAAGTCCTTTCGCGGAAAGCACTAGAACCTCTTCACAACGCTCAAGCTCCCCCCGCACAAGACATTGGAGGCTTCTCCCTTAAAATCCTAAAATCTTTCCCGTGAGACGTTAAGGATCACTCAGGCGAAGTCTTTGAAGTCTTTCCCGGAGATGCTTAAGTCCTCCCAAGAGGAATCTGAGATGTTTCTCATAAGGCACCTAATTCCTCTCCCCGAGGCATTTATATCCTCATAAGTCGAGAACCGCTAAGTACCCGCCCTCGTTCGACTATGGGATTGGTTGACACCCCCACAACATTTTGATATGAAGTGTGGGAGACCTCAGACTACGAAGACACAAGAATGATGCGACTCAGGTTGGCAATGCACTAGCTTGGCACCATGCAATGGTTTTAGCTTAGGAGTCTTGCTCGGCTAATCGGTTTTGGGTTTAATCGGTTTGGGTCTAATCAGTTTCGTTTCCAATTTTTTTGAGTTTTTATCTTTAGAAGGTTCAACTTTCTTTTAAAGGTAAGACCGTAAGAATTGTATTGTTATATCATATTTCTACGCTTTTCATATATTTCAATCACACAATTTCACCATTTTAATCTTTTAATCTTCGTGCTCGGTCAATTGTAGAGCTTTTTTTGGATGAAGTAGTGATTTTTTTGTTTCAAACAATCTATCACCTTTAGGTTTTTTCATATATGTTTACTTAATTTTCATGAGATAAATTCAATCCGAATTCAAAAAAGTCTAAGTAAATATACTACACACATATTCTCGTTGGCATATAAAAATTTGATGAATGAATGTTAAAGCTGTGGTTGAAACATTTTAAATAATATTTAATTGATAGAATTTATTGATGAGACTTAGAATTGATATTTTGAATTGATATATATTGTTTAATAGTTCTAGATTTGTATGGAGGAATATAAAGCTTTGTACTTTGAACCAGCTTCGAGTGGGCCTTACGACTTGGACTAGGTTGAAGAGAAAAGTAGATAGTGGAGGATTTAGAAGGGTTACCTTTTTTGCAAATTGCTATGGGTTTGCTTTAGCACTTGTTGGATTTCAGGTTCTGGAAGCAATGGAAGAAGTGGACCTTCCAGAAATTCCATGGAGTGTGATTTCTAAAGCTGCCGAAATTCCGCTCCTGCATGCCGTTGACAAAGCTGTACTGGGGAACAGATGGCTCCGTAAAGCAATCGGGATTCAGCCCAAATTTCCTTACATGGTTGACTCTTTTGAACGAAGGCAGGTGATTTTTAAAACTTCTCTAACAGATAAAATGAGTTCTCTTTTCCCAACCCCAAATCTGAGCAAAGTCATTTGCAGGAGTTTGCGTTCCTTAGAGAGAGCATCACAATCACCCAACACATCGGATTCAGCGTCACACTTAAAACTCATTGGGGACAAAATGGATTGCGTTCCCAATAAGCAACGGGAAATGGAGAGAAATGAGGCTCCTTCTCATCATCATCATCCACATGCATTTCTTCCGAATATTACGATGATAGGAGTGTCGCTGGTGGAGGGTGACAAGGAGAGCAAAGACGCGCTGAAGAAGAGTGTGGAAGATCTGACAGTAGAATTGGAGTGCACTAACCGGAGAAACGGCTATGAGATTTTTAACCCTGAAGAGAGGGACCCTCTTTTTGTAGCCAATGTCGGTCGCAAACACAGCTTGAACAACAATTTGAAGCCGTTCCAGGATTGCTAACCAAAGAAGAAGATGCAAATGCTGACTCCTGTTATCTACTACTGTAATACATACAGCTAGTTTATTGGATGCCCTCCATCCTGAATTTCTCTGTCTAGCTTATTTTTTTAATCAAACGCAATGATATATTAGTTACATTGTACTCTACATTTATATAAAAATAAATTTATTAGATTTGTGTTGTAAAATACTTTCAAAAAAATCATTCTCTTTTCCAATTGAATTCTCCACTCCCTAAAAAAATCTTTTATAAAAAATAAGTATAAGAAGTTCTTCAAAGGATTCTGTCCATTCATGCCAATGATGTTATAACATCATATCCTACAAAGTGTGTGTGCGCGCGTGTGTGTGTGTGTGTTAAAAAGGACAAGAGGAACTACAAGGTTAAGGAGGAACTACAAGATTAAGGAGGATTGGTACTACTACAGGAAGAAAATTATGCACAATAAGAGGTGGTTTGAATTGATGCCTTTGACTAAAGACTGTACTACTCAAGAGGGTTAAAGTGGTTGATGGGCATGAGGCAGATAAACAGATTAGACTCCTTTTGTCTGGAATATGATGACATGTCCTAAACACAAGTTCTTTGCTTGGCTCATTCGTAGAGGAAGAATAAACACTAAAGAAAGGAGGATTGGGAGGTATATGGATATCAACAAAACCTGTGTATCATGTAAAGCCACTGATGAAGACTCTAACCACCTATTTTGCAACTACCTCATCACCAAAACATTGCTTAGGAGGGATTCAGATTGGTAGGGCTATAAATTTGAAGGGACAACGATTGAAGAAATCAGGAATAGCCTAATCGCTCTTGGAGGAAGGAGAAGACTAAAGTGTACTAATATGTATGTAGCTATTCGTTGTAGTATCTAGAAGGCAAGAAACATGCCCATCTATAAGCAAGAAATCCCCTAAGAAGAGAGTATGTTTAGATGGAATCTTCTTCATTTGACATCATATTGGGAGAGGAGGAAGGCAAAAAGGGCAGTAGTCAATTTTGTTTGTTTTTGTAGTTAATTGATGTGTTTTGTGTTAGCTTTGTTAAAGTTGTGCTCTTTGATGATTTTGATGGTGAAATATAATGTGCACTTGGTTAGACAAAAAAAAAAGAAAGTGCACAACTAACTCGGGAGAAATAAATAAGAAAGTGATTAACTAAATCAGGAGAGTAACTTATATATTTTGGATTTATCTCACATTGAAAATTGAATAGAAAAGTAATCGGGATATAAGGTCTTGATTTGAACTAATAAGTAATCCATTTGATTCACTCTTTTAATATGATTCAACCTAAATATCTTATGGCTCAATACAATAAACCTTACCCCATCCTAAATTCTATCATGGTATTGGTGCCAATTTTAGCCACCTCATTTGTTAAAGTGTTTGTCTAGAAGGTCATTCCTAGAAACCCATTAGTCTTTAGCTTAGTTGTCTGTATAGAAAATGGCATGTGGCCCATATAACTTGATTGTTCATCTAGAATTCCATACCTAGTGATTATAGTCATTTAGGTGTTGGCACTTTAGAACCTTTCATTTCTTGGGGAGGGGGAGTCCATTTGCAAGTGGTCAACCAGTTAGATTCAATATTTTTCGATTATTCTTTTGAGGGGGAGTGTTAAAGGATCCGACATTTAAAATTGAAGATGAAAGTAATTGGTATATAAGCTCTTGAGTTGAACTAAGTAATCAATTCGATTCATTCTTTTAATGTGGTTCAACTCAAGTGTCTTATGACCCAATCTAGTGACCATTACCCCATCTTAAATGCTATCATGGTATCGAAGCCATTTTTAGTCCAACTAATATGTTAAGGTGTTAATCTGGAAGTTCATTTCTAGCGGCCCATTAGTCTTTGGTCAAGTTCTCCATATGTTAAGAGCATGTGACCCATATAACTCGATTGTTCATCCAGAAGTCCATACTCAGTGATCTGTGATCTTTTAGGTGTTGACACTTTTGATCCTTTCATTTCTTAGAGGGGGGAGCCCATTTTAAAATGATCAACCGGTTAGATTCAAAATAGCCTGACTCTTGAAGAGATTGTTAAAGTACCCCACATTGGAAATTGAAGAGAAAAGTAAATGGTATATAAGGTCTTGAGTTAAACTAAGAAATCAAATGAATTTAATCTTTTAATGTGTTTCAACCTAAGTGTCTTATGGCTTAATCCAATGACCCTTACCTCATCATAAATTTTATCATAAACTTCAACACATACACCATAACATAATTCCAGTGTTAGCATCTTGATTGCATCAAAAATACATTTGTGACACCGACACTACAAAAAAAATACGCTATTGGCACAATTTTTTACACGATACGTTGTTCAAATTTTTTATGGCTTTCTAATTCGGCACGACGTTTTGACAAACTCAAGGGAGTTTCCAATATCAAAGTTTCAAAATACATGGCATGGCCTTCGGAGCCGTGCACGTCTAGTAGGCACAGTTTTTCTCACGACAACATTATTCGAACTTCACGATATAATTTTGTAACGTTTCTCTTGAAGGCAAGGCATATAACAATCCCAACGTGACCGTGCATATGTTAGGCACTTTATACTTCCGTGCCTTCATGAAATATTTTGAAATAAATTTAGAGGCACGATGGTGCCCCATGACAAGTGAAATCTTTTGAAATTAATTTTCTTTCTCCTTACAATCTTAAATGTTAGTTCCTATAATAGTGTACACACCGTACCAAAAGTCTGGGTAGCATGGGGTTTGTATTTGTTGGCCTTATCCTTATGACAAAAACAAATAGTAGGAATAAGTTGTCTAGTTGGCTTGGGATTGTAGCGTCCTGCCATGTTGAGGATTCACGAAGGGATATACACATACATGTCCAGCTTGAGCTAGAAGTCATCTCACAGGTTGGTGGTTATTGAGAAGGACTCAACTAGGGTTTCATGTTGTCGCATATATAAATATATATCTCTGCGCTGAAAAAGGGTGAGCTGTGAACAAGAGAAGGAGAGATACTGAGCAATACAGATTCACACAGAGCCTAATTCATGGGTTGTTAATCCTTAACAACCTGCAATCATTATAGGAGATAATCATTCTCAAGGTGCAAGGAAGTTTGCAAACCAGCAGGTGATCTATGCAGTGCTGGAAATGGGTCGTGACACATCCTGATGCATGAAGTTGGTGTAAACAGCCGTGAAGTGTGATACAAACAGAGTTTGATATCAAAGTCATTCGTAAGTTGATTAAGTCAATATAATAGATCGAGTCTGTTGTTATTGAAGGTGTAATCGTTACGGTGATTTAGTGGAAGGGTTGTTACACGGATGTGGGCCCCGCAGAGTAGGAAAGTTTTCCGAACTGCGTAAACAAATTCTCTGTCTTGCGTATTTATTTCATTCTGCACGTTATATTATCTTCTGTTATAGGAGGTGCTGAAGCACTGCGTCAGTCCTTAGAGTTCCTGTGTGTTTGTTGAGTTTAGTAGTAGCTTTTAAAACTTTCAATTGGTATCAGAGCTTGTACAGCTTAAGATATTAGCTGAAGAAGACGATCATGGGAGACATGGAGGAAGGTGCAAATGTTCAACGACAACCTCTATTGAGAGGACCAAACTATAACTTTTGGAAAGGACGTATGAGAGCGTTCTTGAAATCACAAGGTGGTAGAGTATGGAGAATCATAGAGACTGGATGGACAGAGCCAACAGAAACAAATGCAGAAGGTGTGAAAGTAATCAAAACTTTCGAAAAATACTCAAAGGAGGAAGCTCAAGCTGCTGAATGCAACGACAGAGCCCTAAATGCTTTATTTGGGGCTGTTGACAGTTCACAATATAGACTCATCTCAAACTGCACTGAGGCCAAGAAAGCTTGGGAGAGTCTTGAAACTACTCATGAAGGAGATGAGAGAGTGAAGACAGCAAAAATCCAGATTCTCATGACCAAATATGAGAGCTTGCGCATGGATGAAAAAGAAAGGATAACTGATTTTCATGGAAGAGTAAGGGAGCTGGCTAATGAAGCTGAAAATCTGAAGCGGCCCTTTACTGAAGACAGTTTAGTTTTGAAGGTGCTGAGAGCTCTACCAGAATCCTATGCTATGGATGCCAAAGCAATTCGTCAGGCACATGACATCAAGAATATGACTCTGGATCAACTCATGGGGAATCTAGAGACTATCGAGTTGCAGATGAATGAAGAGCTCAAACGGAAAAAGAATGAGAAGCCAATTGCTTTTCACAGCCTGGCTGATGAGGATGACAATGAAGATGATATAGCCCAAGACAAGGACTTTCAGGAGCAACTGTCACTCTTCACTAGACAGTTCAAAAAGCAATGGATACAGAAGAGAGGGAAGAACAACTTCCAAGGTGAATCATCCAAAGGAATACAATTCAGAAATACACGACCAAGGGAGGTAAGACCATCAATTGATGACCTCAAGAAAAAGGGGCCTCAATGCTTTGAATGTGGTGGGTTTGGTCACATTCAATCTGAATGTGCTAATAATCTCAAAAAGAAGAGGCAAGCTTTCATGTCAACATGGAGTGATGATGAGGAAGAAACAGAAGATGTCATGGGGAATAGCCATTGTGCCTTTGTCACCAGTACGAAGAACAAAACACTGAGGATGCTGCTGAACAACTCACAGTACTACAAGAAAAGTGGACAGAACTTCTTCTCGTCCATAGGAAGAACATCTTAGAAAAGAATCAACTGGCTGTGGAAGTTGAGGATCTCCGAAAGAAAATGGATAAAGTCAACCAGCAGCTGATTCAAACTGAAGGAGAAAAGTCTGATCTGAAATATGAACTCACTCAACTTAAAAGCTATCAAAGGTGGATGAAGAGTGCAGGTGCTGAAAAGATCGAGGAGATGGTGAGCTCATCAAAATTCTATGGGGATAGATCTGGAATTGGGCACACATCATCTGAAGGCAGCAAAACACCACTGGATCTGTTCACCAGAGAAACAAGGAACATCACCAAACAACTAGACACAAAGGAGCTGCCAGAATGCAACCTGAGCAAGGGCAAAGATAAAGTGTTTCAGCGTCCAGACTGTCATGTAAGGAAGACTTATTCTCTGAATCCTTATTTAAATTATATTTGCTTCTACTGCAGGAAAAGGGGGCACATCAAACGCCAATGTTACAAACTAAAAAACTTGAAGAGAACGAAAGGTGGTACAACAAGGCATGTCAAAACCAGAATGAAATGGGTACCCAAACACCAAGCCTCATGTGCAAATATGTGATATCGAGTCACACCTGATCAGTGGCTCCTGGATAGTGGATGTTCTCATCATATGACTGGAGACAAACAGAACCTGACAAATGTACAACCAATTGAAGGAGGGAATGTAAGATTTGGTGGTGGAGCTCATGGACAGATTATCGGAAATGGAACGCTGCATGTATCTGGACTGCCACCAATCAAGAATGTATGGCTTGTTCAGGGACTGCAAGTGAATCTTCTGAGCATTAGTCAGATCTGTGATCAAGGACTTGAAGTGGTATTCACACAACAAAAATGTCGCATCAAGGATAGAAACAAGTTGGTGGTATTAGAGGGAGACCGAACTGCTGACAATTGCTATAAAGTAATTCCAAACATCCTATGTTATGCTGCAAGTGAAAGAGATGCCAAATTATGGCACTACAAACTGGGGCATATGAACTATAAAGACCTGAAAATGCTATCAAACTCAGGGGCAGTTTGAGGGATGCCAAAAATCACACAGGCTGATGATCAAGTATGTGGACCTTGTCAGAAAGGAAAGCAGATCAGAAAGAGTCACCCAAAGAAGCTAATGAGAACAACCAAACGACCACTGGAACTACTACACATTGACCTTTTTGGGCCTATGCAGACAGAAAGTATATGAGGAAAGAGATTCGTTCTCATAGTAGTAGATGACTACACCAGATATACGTGGATCAGCTTCTTAAAGCACAAAGACGATGCACTGGATGCTTTTGCAGCTCTTTGTAACAAGGTTCAGAATGAAAAACAACTGAGAATAAAGAAGGTAGTGCGGGTACGAAGTGATCATGGAGGTGAATTTGACAATGGACCATTTGAAGAATTTTGCAATCTCCACGGAATAAACCATGAATTTTCAGCACCAAAAACTCCACAACAAAATGGAGTAGCTGAGAGGAAAAATCGACACGTACAGGAGATGGCCCGCACAATGATCAACACATACAACTTGCCACAGAATTTGTGGGCTGAGGCAGTTCATACAGCATGCTATACAATTAATCGAGTGTATCTCAGGAGTGGAACGCAGGCTACACCATATGAATTATGGAAAGGAAGAACCCCAAGTGTGGCACACTTTCACATCTTTGGAGCAAGATGCTATGTCTTAAGGGACCAAGAACAAAGAGGAAAATTTGAATCCAAGAGTGACGAAGCCATCTTTGTTGGATACTCACCTAACAGTAAGGCCTTTCGAGTATACAACAAGCGCACAAAAACTATCATGGAATCAATAAACGTGGTAGTAGATGACCAGGTCTCTCAAAAACCAGTGGATGATCAAATAGAGCCACTGAAACACGTCGAAGAAACTGAAGAAGAAGCTGAAGAGGTAGAAAGTGGAAATGAGCAAGACACTCAAACAGACACACCTATCACCAGCAGTGTTCCGACTCATATTCAAAAGAGTCATCCATCTGAGAACATTATTGGCACGCCCACTGAAGGAATCAGAACAAGAAAGAAGAAGATCGATTTCCTACAAATGACAAAGGCCTACTATACGTCATCCATGGAGCCCAAAAACATTAAAGAAGCCTTGACAGATGCAGCTTGGATAAATGCCATGCACGAAGAACTGGAGCAGTTCGAGAGAAACAAAGTTTGGGAGCTTGTACCAAAACCAGACTCAGTGAATGTCATTAGCACAAAGTGGATCTACAGAAATAAGACCGATGAAGAAGGGAATGTTATCAGAAACAAAGCTCGATTAGTTGCTCAAGGATACACACAGATGGAGGGAATAGACTTCGAAGAAACATTTGCACCTGTAGCACGTCTTGAGTCCATACGAATGCTTATAAGTATGGCCTGTGTTCTAGACATGAAGCTAAATCAAATGGATGTGAAGACCGCCTTCCTAAACGGGTATTTAAAAGAAGAAGTCTATGTAGCACAGCCCAAAGGATTTGAAGACTCAAAACATCCAAACCATGTATACAAACTCGCAAAGCATTGTATGGGCTAAAGCAAGCTCCAAGGGCATGGTATGAAAGACTAACAAACTATCTTATTGAGGAAGGATACAAGCGAGGGGGAGCAGACAACACAATGTTCTACATTTGGTACAACTCAGACTTACTAGTTGCACAAATATACGTGGATGACATTGTGTTTGGATCTACATCTAAGGCACGAGCTGATGAGTTTGTCAGAGTAATGGAGGAGTTTGAAATGAGCATGATAGGAGAACTCACATTCTTTTTAGGTCTTCAGATCAAACAAACAACCGATGGAATCTTCATATCACAGACCAAGTATGCACAAAACATGCTGAAAAAGTTTGACATGAGTGACAGTAAAAGTGCTAGAACACCATGTCCAACACATGAGAAAATCAGCAGAGACGATACTGGCAAGGATGTTGATGCAACAAGATACAGAGGAATCATAGGAAGTCTTCTCTATATAACAGCGAGCAGACCAGACTTGTGCTACAGTGTAGGAGTTTGTGCGAGATATCAAGCCAATCCAAAAGAATCACATCTCAAAGCAGTCAAGAGAATACTAAAATATGTGAAAGGCACACAAAATTTGGGAGTCTGGTACTCAAAAGGAGGTATGGCAGAACTCATGGCATTTAGTGATGCAGACTGGGCTGGAAACATAGATGACAGGAAAAGTACTTCAGGAGGATGCTTCTTTCTTGGTGGGAATCTTGTGGCTTGGCTAAGTAAGAAACAAAACTCTGTGTCACTGTCTACAGCAGAGTCTGAGTATATAGCTGCAGGTAGCTGTTGTGCACAACTGTTATGGATGAAATCAATTTTGGCTGACTACGGAGTCAAACATGACACTATTCCAGTGTACTGCGACAATACAAGTGCCATCAGCATATCAAAAAATCCAGTACTCCACTCCCGCACAAAGCATATTGATATCAAGCATCATTTCATACGGGAACTAGTGGAACGTAAGATTGTAAGCCTGGAACATGTGTCTACTAAAGATCAGCTTGCAGATATTTTTACTAAGGCACTTGATGGAAACAGATTTGAAACACTCAGATCCAAATTGGGTTTGTGTGCACCTTACTAAAAGTCATGAGGAAATCAAATAAAAGATGAAGGATGAAGTCCACAAATAAAAGTCATAAAGATATCAAAGACACGTGGAGCAAGGCTACAAATAAGTCAGGCATGCAACACGCCTTTTTACACCCAACGCCGCGCTACTGGATCCGAAGAGACAATTCTTAAATCCTCCTATCAGCTTTAAGAGACATTACACCCTTCGTCTTCTTCCCCTCGGCTGCATTTTTTCTGTCAAAAACCCTAGCATCATCACGATTGAGTCTGCAAACATGGTGCGAACCAAAATAGCCCTGCCACAAAGATTGAAGAATCCACTCAAAGTAAAGCAAAATGCAAATTTATTGAAGAAATTTGCACAAGCTCGAGCGAAGCTACAAACCAAACTTTTCTCAGAAGAAGACAATAAGGCATCGTCACCACATCTATCACATGAAAACTCTCAGCAAAATCCTCTGCATGCAGAATCTCACGAAGCACAACTTGATGAAGCACCTCTCAAACCAGATCTGCCAACCGTGTTCTATTTGGAATACAAGGCAGACGCGTTATCTCAAAGGATGCAATCTACTTCAGATGAAATTGGCAAAGCAAATGAGAAAGACCGTTCAAATTTCAAGCAACAGGATGAGCCATGCAAAGCCACAGCAAGTGAACCATGCCAAACTGAATTCGGTGGAGATGATGAGGAGTTTCTGAATCTACTAGAAGAAGAACCCTTGATGGCTGTCTTTGAAGTCCCATTTCAATCACAAGTCAGTACCCCACAGAATCAGAAGTCAACATCTAAGCCTTCAATCTCCAATCCAGTTCGCTGGTCCAAACGCAAACTGGAATCTGAGATCAAAACTCCGGAGGCACCGTCACCTCTTTCCAAAAAGGCCAAGAGCAGTGCCAAAAAGTCTGTCTCCAACTCCAAGACACCCCAGACAAGGACAAAGAAACAACAGAACATTCTCTCAGGGAAGTCCTCGAATACTATTTTCATCTCCTCTAATGCAAAATCCTTTATGAGTCTGATTAAGAAGAAGCACATCATTTCCCAACGGAATATTGATGTTGATGATTTTACACTGAAGACAAATCTCATACCTCTCTTGAAAGCAAGGAAGTTGCTGAGATCTGTAACACTCCCTGGGTCCTATGTTAAACAAGTAGTGCATGAATTCTACTGCAACTTAAATGAAAGCTTTATTCACTCCACTGATGAGAACTTTGAGAAAGTATTTGTGCGAGGGAAGTACTATGATTTCTCTCCTGCTGCAGTTAATAAATTCTTGGGTGTGAATGATGAACTAGATGTACAAATTGGGGAAGCTACAATGTGGAAGGAACTGACACATGGTGCCAGGAACAGCCAACAATCCACAAACAAAGTTCCTTCATCCATTCTCAACAGCTCTTACTCAATTCTCTTGCGTGTTGCAGCATGTCACTGGCTTGCAACCACTCATACAAACACTGTCACCAAGGCCATGGGAATGCTTCTCTACAAATTCAAAAATGGTGTCCCAATCAACCTGGGAAAGCTGATTGTGTCCCAGATTGCTGAGTTTGGAAAACGAAACTACAAGCAAAATGACAATGGTCTGCCTTTTCCTGTTCTAATCTTTCAGATGCTTCTTTCTCAGGGATTTGTCAAAGTTGCTGCTGACAAGGAGGAGCCACCAGAGCCACTACTGCATATTGACTACAGGCATTTTGAAGGAAACCATTTCAATGACATGGAGTCCACTCAAAGCTGTGCTCAGCAAGGAGTGTCAGCTGTGATACAATATCTGGATGACAAGCTTGAAGCAAACAGGGAAGAGATGAGGATGACACTGGCCAAACAGTCAGCACTTGAGGAGGAACACAAGCATCTCACCTGGCTTAGAGAAGTTGTGACTGACAGTGCTGCAACAACAGAGGGAGAATCTGCTCAGGGGGAGAGCTCTCAGGAAGAGGAGGAGGAGGAGGATGAACTATCAGCATAAGTGTTTCATCTTCATTACTCATTTGCATCTCAGAACTTGACATTATTTTGGTGGGGTTGTTCTGCCCTGGTTTCTGGTTTTAAACTTTATGCTTTACTATTTCTCCTATGACTGCTGTCAAACGTGTCTTTGGGATTTTGAACCTGGTTTGCCAAGTCTTCATATCTGCCTGTTTTTGGATATCCACCACATTATCATTTTACGTTCTATGGATCTTTGCAAATCTTCCTCTTACATGGTGTAGGTACACTCTCAAGCTCCACTTTAGAATATGTTACATATCATGTACCTCTCTTGCTCAAATGTTGGATATTACTCTTCTCTGTTTCCCAGTTCTTACTCAATACACTTTGGCATATTTTGAACAAAAAAGGGGGAGAAGAGGTTCAACAACCAGAGAGTCTAGTTTGTTTATTTGTTTTTGTCCAAAAGGATGGCCAAAGGGGGAGATTGTTAGTTCCTATAATAGTGTACACACCGTACCAAAAGTCTGGGTAGCATGGGGTTTGTATTTGTTGGCCTTATCCTTATGACAAAAACAAATAGTAGGAATAAGTTGTCTAGTTGGCTTGGGATTGTAGCATCCTGCCATGTTGAGGATTCACAAAGGGATATACACATACATGTCCAGCTTGAGCTAGAAGTCATCTCACAGGTTGGTGGTTATTGAGAAGGACTCAACTAGGGTTTCATGTTGTCGCATATATAAATATATATCTCTGCGCTGAAAAAGGGTGAGCTGTGGACAAGAGAAGGAGAGATACTGAGCAATACAGATTCACACAGAGCCTAATTCATGGGTTGTTAATCCTTAACAACCTGCAATCATTATAGGAGATAATCATTCTCAAGGTGCAAGGAAGTTTGCAAACTAGCAGGTGATCTATGCAGTGCTGGAAATGGGTCGTGACACATCCTGATGCATGAAGTTGGTGTAAACAGCCGTGAAGTGTGATACAAATAGAGTTTGATGTTAGAATAAAAGACCAACGCTAGAGGGGGGGTGAATAGCGTTTGATCGGAGAAGTCGCAGGAATTAAAAATTTAAAAGAGAAGTAAAGAGAAGAGTAAGAGGCACACCGAATTTTACCCTGGTTCACCACAACTTGTGGCTAATCCAGCCTCCCGAGAGACTCTCTCGAGCTACACTACTAACTCGTTAAGCTTACGGGTGCTTAACAAACCGTTACAACTTGAGAGTTCGAGTCACACGAACCTCAACGAATCCTTCAAAGGAAACAGACCTTCCTTTGAATCAACCGAGAGTGATACTATCTCTCAACGTGTCTAAGAACACAAGTACACTCAAGAACGAGACTCTCTTATAGAGTAGATTATGAGTAAACTAAGTACGCTCAAGAACAACTCAACCTTCACACAAGTGGCTCTAGAAAGCTATGGAAAATTATGATATTTGAATGCAATGAAAGTATAGATGTTGTGAAGTGAATTGGTGAGAAAAGCAGACCCAAACACCCCTTTTTATAGTGCAAAATTTGGCTCCAACGGACCAATGCATTAAAGGAGTGATTAGCTTGATTTATGGGATTGAAAAGATTTGGGATCTGCAGGATATTGGCTTCCCATAGATGTTTAGAATCAACCATCGCTGGTAAGCCAATTTTTCTTCTGTTTTGAAGTCAACGGTCACCTACCCATCGATGGGTACAAGCTTCCCATCGCTGGGTGGGAGGTTGACTTCCAAACAAGGAAAGAATCAACCTTTAATGACCACCAACGGTCATGCATTCCCATCGATGGTATACCCTTACCATCGCTGGGTTCCCATCGATGGGATAGACCTCCCATCGCTGGGCAAGGTCGTTCTGCCTTGTGGTAATTTTGCACCAAGGCTCTAACAGCGATGGGTGGAACTCCCCATCGCTGTTTGGCATGGTTCTAGAAACTGGTTTGGCTGAGGAGCCGCTTACCCATCGATGGGAAGATCTTCCCATCGCTGGGTGAGTGGTTAGTCAAGAACCCATGGTTTTTGGCTTAACCACGGCCTAGCCAACCGATGCGTAACCCGACCGAAAAATTCAAAGTTCTCCAAAATAAAAACTAAGAGTTTAAAACACTTATTTGATGTATTTGGCTAATAAATCGAGTAATACACTTTAAAAACCATGTCATTTAAGTGAAAACCACGGCTAGCCAAGTTTTATGCCGTTTTGAATGATTTTTGTAAAACGACCAAAAGCGAGAGATGGTTTTCAAGGTGTTTTTGTTGGAGAACCGTTTAAACATGCCAAAGAGTAAAAACCAATCATAAAAATTTGAAAACCACTTGGTTGGTTCGGACGCCAAAAACCATAACCGATAACCGAGAGCCGAACGCCA